TATTATTCATATATATCAAAGAAAACTTCTTCTGATCATAAACTTTATATTTTAGATCAAAAATACGATTCACAGTCGTTGGTAGTATGGACAGAATTTCAAGTCGAAAGTTCATTATTTGATTTTTTTGTAACTACCTAAAACTGGACCGAAATATCCGTAAAACGGTCATATCTCAGCTCCATGGGCCCATGGACATGAATTTTTTTAGAATTTTTCTATTTTCACTGAGATCTCCTTGCGAATCTAATACGAGCTCAAATGGTAAATATCACAGTTCAGGTAGTTCCCTTGTTGGACGAATAAGGACCAAAAAACATATCAATCCTTTTATTTCTATTTATGAATTTTGTTTTTGTTCACTTTTCTTCATTTTACACATCTAAATACTTGATTTAAGTTTTATCAATTCAACCAAGAATCAAAATCGATTGGACAATTTGCGAACCAAATCCGAACGGAATTTATCTCTATTAGAAATATAGATTTTATTAGTCTCATTTAACAAATAATCATCATATTCTACAATTCCCATGTATATTATAAACAAGTTAAAAGCCGAGAAATGTAGTTTTAGTTCCAATCTGTGATACACAAAAAAAAAATCAATTCTTTTAATGTATACTAAGCAAGACTAATCGAAAATTTATGAGGTATGCACAAAATAAAATAGCATATCAAGAAACAATTTCAAATTAACTTGTTTATTGAATACAAGGCCGAAATCTAACATATTGAATATTAATCAAATGTTTTGAAAAATACGAAATTAAAGAGTTTATTATTAAATAAAATTAATATCGTAGATTTCATTCAATCAATGTACTTTTTTTTCTCTATTTTCATCATGTAAGAAATCACAATGCAGAAATGTTTTTTTATATCAAAATCTTCTACTATTTATTTACTTAAAAGTTGATCAAAAATAACATGAAATATATCGTTATATTTACAATTGTTACAATAAAAGTAAAAGATCACCTTGAAATCACAAAACATATCAACTGAATATTTGTTGAATTTTGCAATCAGATCATTAACATATTATTTTTGAATAATAAACAAATATTCGAATAAAATTCTAAAATCCTTGAAGATATGCTAAAACAAATGCGACCTGAATAATTACTATTTATCAACAAAATTTTATCTTATGTATTACTCTGCATTACTGATTCATATCTGTAATTTGATTTTTTATGATATTTTTGTCTCTGTAAAAAGCGAGAATATTTCGATCTTTGATTCTGTCAACAAAACCAAATAAAAAAACATAACAAGTATTACTATGGTAAAAAAAAATGCCGAAAGTGTCAACTCATACATTATTTTTGATGTTTCGCCTGTTTTATTTTTGGCATTTGTCGTTCTTAGTTATTTCTTCATGTTTGAATCATATAAAATTAATAGGAAAATTTTTCGTTGGAAGAATAAAACGAACATATGAATCAATATCATTATTCGATGAAGCCAAAGCTTATCTAAGTGTGCTAATAAAGGTGTTTGCACGTATCATATAAAAAAGAAAAGAACAAGAAAAAAAAATCGAATCAAGAAAAAAATGTAGGAGGCGCAGCAGCATGCATTTTTTTCTGTCATCAATTGATTTTTAATCGACTCTATAAGACTTACAATGGTACGTGCCACAAATAAATAAAAGTACATTAGTGAAACATCTAAAAAATTGCAACTAAAACGTTTATTTTCGATCATTAACATATATTAAAAAATCAAACTATGTTGCTGAAACATCGACCAGTAGGATTGGGTAGTGGTCTTTCTTTAGGATCACCAACTACACAAGCTAGTAGAAATCAATCTCCAGTATCCGATAATTCACCAGTCGATCATAATACATTGGCGTTTATGTAAGCTTTTAATGGTATTTTTTTTCCTATAAAGAACGACGAAAAAAACTATGATTTCATAAACAAAAAATAAAAAAAAACATTAGACGTTTTTTTCTTTCTTATTGTCCTATAAATATTTAATTAATAAGACTTTTTGTAACATATTCTATTAGTGAATATCAAATAACAATAATAAATAAATTGGTTTTCTCATTTTTTTTTCTTCTTTTATTTCAGGATTTTAGCCATTCTTGTTCCAATTGCTTTCACTATTATTCTTTGTTTTATTACTTATTGCATCTATAGATATAATAAAAGTTTATCTTCAAGAGCATCAACAAATTCTTCAATAGGTACATAATTAAATGTAATATTTTCTTGATAATTATCATTCTTAAATCCTTATAGTACCACCAGATCGATTTGATCCTCGTACTGCTACAGTTATTTATAATACTCAACATAGTTCATTTATTTTCGAAGAATCACCGCCTTCATATGATTCATTAACAGATAATAAAAAAGATTCATCTAGTACAATAACAAATACAAATGAACAATTGCCTAATACAACATTGACAAATACTAATGAAAGAACAGTAGAAGCAGCAATAATTATTCCAACAGCGCCTACTCCACCACCACCACCTTATATCAATCTTGATGAATCAAATAAATCATAGACTATTATAACATCTCATTGAACAATATTTATATTTCAATTGGATAAATTGTTTGGATTTTTTATGGTGAATGATATTGGCTATTTTCAGAGTCTTCCATTCTTTTGTTTTTATAAAAATACCGACAATGAAATTAATTTTATATAATAAATCAGTAAAAATTAGTACGACAGTTGACACAAATTTTAGCACTTTTTTTTTAGTCAGTTAGAATAAACTTCTAATTTTGATTTGGTAATGAGAAGTTATCTAGACTTATCTATTGATAATGCACAATAGATTTAACTTCTATCAAAAGAAGAGCCATGATTTTGAAGAGTTCGCTCTTACAAGATACTCATGTTAAATTCTGAGCATCCGATTACTGCAATCGTATACCCAGTAGATAATGACATACAAGCGATTAGTATGAATTAATAATCATTTGAATACTTATTGTTTTCTTGAAAAATCCTATATTTTATATCATAGAAATGAAAAAATTGATGAATAAAAAGAAGTACATAGAAATATCTTATTTTATTATTCATTTCTCTAATATATCTGTGTCAAGAATAATTAGCCATATTTCATTTAATTTTCTTTCTGTCGATATTAATCAATATTTTGTCTTTGATTGTCAAGTAATCTTCTAAATATCCATATTCAAATAGGAATTTTTCTTCTGTAAAATATTTAATTTAATTATAAAATAAGACATGCATTCATTTTACAATCTTCTATTTTACTGATGAAAAAACGTGACAAAAAAAGCTTGTTTGAACAATCTAAAATAATTTCTTTCATTGTCTTTCATTGTGTATTGTTTGTAGATCAATATGAGGGATATGTGAACAGGAGAAAAGAAATTCTTCCGCTCTCACTGGTAAATGGTGATGAAAAAATAACTTGAATTTCATTAATAGCGACAATAAAAAAACCCAGACTCTTCTGTAAAAAAAAAAGTATTTTTTCTTTTACTTTACAGAAGGAACGATTCACAGCAAACGGAACGCTAGAAAAAAAAAGCCGATTTTTTTGCTTTTTCTTCATAATCATAGAATCGAAAAATAAGCAAATATACTTTTTAGTTGATTATATGCACACATGTTGTAAGCGTTGGCAAAGGTGCAAATATGAATATGGGAATTGCTGCCAGTTTATGTTTATTCTTCTTCGAGCAATTATTGATTGTCAAGGTTATATATTGGAATATAAATTTTATTTGTTTTTAAATGTATTTTAATAGATTCAAGCAAGGGAACAATGTAGTTATTATAAAGTAAATCAAACACTAGCTACTATTCAGTAAACTAAAAATGCATTTTATTTTGAAAAATAATTAAATGTTTTTTTTTCTTTTTTTTTTTAATAAAGGTGTAGTGATGATTGTTGTTCATTTATAGCTACATCGGCTGAAACAGCCTGTTGTTCGAGTATTTCATGGAGTTCATTGTGAGGCAATTTTTTTGTTTATATTCGCATAAGTATTTTTTTGTTTTGTTAGAGCAATTCCTTTTTTCATCGTTGCTAGCATTTGTTTTCTTGTTATTTGTTTCATTTATTGTCGACCATTATGGAAATTATGTTTATGTGGATATAAATGTCCTTGTGGTAATCGAACTCAAGGTATTGAAACTTTGTTTTTTTCTTTAAACTTAATTCTAATGTAAAATATTTCAATTATAATCTAGTTAATTCATCAACTTCTGCAACACTCAATAATAATCCAATTCATGTAATGACCAATGAGGGTTTACCCGATTATGAAACTATTATAAAAGATTCAACGATGAAAGAAATAACACCACCACCATATAATTTTGTTGCTTCACATCCAAATGATTTTGGTATTGAAGCACGTGTTCCAAGTGCACCACCTCGATATCTTTCAAGACCTAACTCAGCAGTTATGGGAATTTCAAATACTCCCATTGAATCATAATATGTGTATATTGTCAAAAATTATGTGTTTTTTTTCGTCCTTCCCTTTTGAATCGGTGCTCAATTAATCAGTTTCGTTACATTGTCTCATTTTTTTTTCTTTGTTTTTTTGGCTCACTGTAAATGATACAATATTTTGTGATTTCTACGAACAATATATTTTTTTGTAATAAAGCAAAACAATTCTAAAATTTTTGTTTATGCATCGATACTTCTTATTATATATCTTAAGAAAATCATCATGGATAAAGCGGCACAATCGGCATTAACTTCGACATGAGGAACAACATGATTTCTTTGATCATTATTTACGAGTTAGTCTTTTTGAAGAGAACAAAATGATGGTTACAAACTTGAACTCCTCTTTTTTCTTTTTTTTTTTTTTTGTTATTATCATCTTGTACTAATCATATTCAAGTGAGCCACAAGATCAATGTAACATTTGATGCACGTGTATAAATATAACACCTGACAATTACTTATTTTCTTAAATTGCTTCTCTACTTAGCAATTAAGTATCATTTTCTTTAATATTTATAGTAATTAAATCAACATTGAATTATTCCTGTTTGATGTTAGCCGATGTGCTTCAATTCAATATAATATACTGTATATATTATATCAGTCGATATGATGATACGTGCAACAATTAATTGAGTATTTATTCGATAATTAAATTTAAAAAATTTAAGTTATATTAGAAAGTCATGATATCCGACATGAGATTTCCGCTCTATTAGTACATGTATATATATACTATTGAACGGAAATGAACTTTTTTTGTATATTCTAGGTGCTATTTTAATACTTAAGAATATAATAAGAAGAAAATGAAAAATATGATATTGTCTGTTTATCTTCAGTTCCGATATGCTTGTAAACATATTGTATACGTGCATATGGCGCATAGCTTATTTGGTTTAGACTAAACGACGCCTATGACATGCTGTTTATAAACAAGCAAAAAAGAAACATATAATGATAATAGAAGGAGAAAAAGTTCGTCGCAATGATTTCTAGACACCTGCAGTCGACGCCAATATCATGCAGATTAAAAATGATTGACGCCAAAATACAATTAGATAAATTTATTCAAAGATGATTCATGTTCGATATGTTTCTTATGTTTAATTTTCGGTTACTTTGATTTAAAATAGTAACATTTGTTTTGTTAATAATTAGTACATTCAATGAACAATTGAATAGATACGATTTCTCTATTTCTATTGTTCCCTAATGAATAGTATGTCTAGTCAATCATATATATTCGGCATCTTTTTGAAAAAGAAATAGAACACGTGGCAGTTTGCAAACATTGACAGGTAGATAAAATTAACGCGGTCGAACATCAAATAGTGGAAAGTATAGTCAATTGAGACATTCTACTGGGACAAAAAAAAAGAGAGACAAACGTACTCGCATATGATGAGTAAATTCATGTCTCAATTGATCTCTTATAGAAATGAACAATGAAAGTAATGATGTGTTATTAGTATACCTAGATATTAATGATGTCTGTTAGAAAAAAAAGTGCTCTACAAGGATAGGTGAGAGTCTTTTTTATTGTATTCTATTGAATGAGCAGCTTATTGTTTTTCTTTATACGATCTTTTCACATCTATTCAAGCGTATGTGTATGTGTTGTATTGTTTTCATTGATTAAACAAGACAACTTTCTTTTTTATTTTCTTTTAAAAAAAACAGTAGAAAGAAATTTTTCAATTAAGAATTGAATGAAATTCACGTATTGAATTACTCCGTCTATCAACATGATTGATAACTATGCCTCGTGTATCACACATACGTGAGAATCAATTTGTAAAAAAAAAGAAATGTTTGTATATATTATTCTTTACTATTCATTAGATACTTAGTTGGATTTTTCTATTTGTTAAATAAGATTTTTGACATTGAATTGTTGAATGTATTATGTGTTTTTCAATGCTACAGGAATTCAAATAGAACAATAATGATGACAACAACAACAACAATTTCATGCCTATATTTACTTAAAGATTGTTTGCACTTACATTTGTTTCTATGACATCAACAACAATATTTCAAAAGAAAAAAAAAGAACTCGGTCAATCGATACTCATTATGATAGATGAATCTTGTGGTGTTTGATTGGCAAGACATAAGTTAATAAAGCATATTCACTTTGATATATGAGAAGACTATTATTCATTATTGTTCTTTTCAACACAGCACGATAAACCGATGTATAAACATTTCACAAGATCAAATACGATGATTTTATTGAAAATACTATCTATTTCGATAGACTTTCGAGTAAAATTTCATTTTATTTACTTCATCAACATATGTTTTGCATATTGATACTTCTCCATCAATTGATTGATCGATCCTATTTAACACTCAATTATCTTTTATTCACTATTCTCAGATAACATACACGTTCTATTTCACTTATTAAATACTTAAGGGATTACTTCTTCATTCATTCTATGCTAACATAAGTTGAATCTAATGTAGATTGACTGACTAGTGATTATTAAAAAGTATACATGAAGAGATGATGAAAAAATCAATCATCAAATTCACACCAATTGAACCTTATTTTCAGATAAAGATAATCAAATTAAATACAAACAGAACGAATTCTTAGACTCGATTAGCATTTTTTTCTTAATTAGCGCGCTATATTTTCATGACAACAGAAAATAAAGAGAAACAATCTTCAATTTTATTCTTTAGTTATTAACTCTATCTATTTACAAATCTTTTATTATCCACTGTGAATAAGACATACTTTCGAGGAAGAAAAGACTCGATATTTATCGAGAAAACGGAAACAAGTAGCGGTCAAGTAAAAGAAGGAAAAAGGAGGAGAACAAGAAAAGGTAATCGTCGTTCTGTTACACGAAAAGTTGACCCGTAAGGAAAAGGAAAGGCAAATTCTTTCCCGTCATTTATGTTCAATATCTCATCATATTCACAAGAGAAGAGAACGATAGAAAAGGAAAGAGAAATACAATTATAGATTGTTTCTCTCGTCATCGACAAACATAAATTATAGAGTAGTGACCCTCAATCATTCATTCTATCAAAAACACGATTGCTTATCGGCTGGCTACTGCTGCTGCTACTTGTGGACACTTGTTCTCTTCCTTCTTATTTGACGTGTTGATATATCACACCATCTATACGTGTGAGGCCGCTATATAATGACAAATACAATAGTATATCCATTTTCTATTATAACACATAATAAAATAATGATGATTGTTAATATTAATAAAAAATCTCAATCATCATATGTACATTTACCTGATATTGTTAATGATTGTGAACGACAAGTTGTTAATTTTACAAATGATAATACTATAACAATAACTTGTAAACAAATTGCACATTCACTTCGATTTGTTGCCGATCAAGTTGATAAAAAATATTGTCAAGTAAGTTATTAAATATTTATTTAATTTTTTCTTTTTTTTAATTTAGGATACTGATTTCAATCGAAATATTCATTATTTATCAATACGTCTTATGTTTCATTCAATATTTTCTACATTATGGACACGATCATTATTATCATATATTCTTCTTTTTTGCAAAACAAAAATATTCTTATATTAAATAATATACTATATTTACATTATTGTTTTAGTCGTTTTTGTTTTTTTGTTTTTATATTCATATGAAAAAAAATGTTTATTTGTTCTATTAAGAGAACAGTGTGCTATGTAATGTTTGTATTTATTTGAAGTCGAATGAATTGATCGATAAAATCTTTCGATATTGATAATCAAAAGAATAATTTGTTTTATTTTGTATATATTCAATGAAAAACACTAACAAAAAAAAAAGATTAGGTTTATAAGGAGAAAATTGACTAAATTTGATGTGAATGATAATAAAATTTAACTGTAGATAATATTATCAAGAAAAGTTGTAATAAATCCAAAAATCGATCTCAAACAAATACATGGAATTTGTCTATTCAATAAGATGTTAATATTTGATGAGATAAATATAATTTATCTAATCAACAATTATTGTACGATATACATGAATGCTGTCAGTATTTAGTCGTTTCCTTATGAAAAAATGACGAATTCATGCAGAATCCGTATTTGATCTATCGAAAATATTGTACTTAGAGTTTTTACGGAACTTCATACTGCGAGATTTGAAACCACTGGCAACTGCCGCACGCAATACCGTGGTTATCGAACTAACTAATTGGTGTTACTCCAGAAAACTGAAGTGAGACTTAAAAAAACGCAGTGTCCTTCTAGAAAATTTTTTCGTGGGATCTATTCCTTGTTTTTTTCGAAAAGTAGATTTTTGTATATACCTAATTGTTATCGCACTAGGAAAAGCTTTTTATGTGTCAACGTGCTTTTAGCTTTCAGCAATTATTCTTATTCAAAGCTTCGATCTGATGAGATCAAAATTCGAAAATAATGATCGTTTGAAATAGAACCAACATTATAATACGATGAACAATATGAATCATACCGAATACAATAGAGTGATGGGCATCATTTCATTTTAATAGAGAATGAAAAACCTTTCTAGAATCATGTGCTTCCTGGAGAAAACAAACTTTTTTTCGAAAGTTTATCTATTAATGTTTGAACGATTCTTTATTTTTCACAATCAATACTACTTGGTTTTGAAACACGTAGATAAATAAAAGTCAGACTTCAAACTAAGTTCAACTTATTCGATTTCTCTTCTGCACTTGTCAATTGATAGTTATTATGAAAATTAAATTATATTTAACAGTCGATTTTTTCCATTGTTGCAAATGATCTTGTATGATTTTGATAAGACTGTGAAATCAAACAGTTAATGAAAAAAAGATTTTATCAGAAAATAGACAAAAAAAAAAGAAAATGAACATAACTACTAATGTAAGTGACAATGTAGAATATCGATTGGTATACTATTGATGAATAATCAGAACGATAAT